AGAGAGAGAGAGAGAGAGAGAGAGAGAGAGAGAGAGAGAGAGAGAGAGAGAGAAATCCTCCCACCAAAGCTGAAAGTTTAAGGAGCACCCTTTCTACATAACAAGCTTGCACAATCGCAAGCTCGGATCTGAAATCATAAACACAACCTGGGTGGTAAAATCAACATTAAGCTGAAGTCTCTTGACAAGGTTTGGACGGTGCCCCCGGGATGTTTCTAGGCTTGTACTCTCCTTAGGGCAACCCGTTCCTCTGGCGTTAATTTTCACCTATTTATCAGGCTGCTTCGTTACCGATTGATTTATTCCACAAATTTGTAGGACCGCCCAACTCACACAAAGTGATTTTAGCGATAGCACTTAAGACTTCCTTCCTTCCTTCCTTCCTTCCTTCCTTCCTTCCTTCCTTCCTTCCTTCCCTCCCCAAGCAATAGCACACATATACAGCTTCACAGTGCTTTTACAGCCCTCTCTAATCAGTTTACAGAGTCAGCCCATTTGCCCCCAACAATCTGGCTCCTCATTTTACCCACCTTGGAAGGATGGAAGGCTGAGTTGATCTTGAGCTGATGAGGATTGAACTCCTGGCAGTGAGCAGAGTCAGCCTGAAATTCTGCATTCTAATCACTGTGCCACCATGGCTCTATTTTGGGCAGTAATGTTTTTTTTTTTTAAAGTAGCTTTCTTTAACTGCGTCTTACCTGGGACTTAATCCTATTTGCCTGCGAATTCTTATAACTGTGAGAAAACCAATTTACATCTAATCTTTAGAAATCAAATGCAAAATCCGACGGGGCAAAATGTCTAAAGCTGTGTTTTGCCAACCCGGCTGACTTTTAAGATGGGTGGACTTCAGCTCCCAGAACAGCTGACTGGAGAATTCTGGGAAGTGAAGTCCACACATCTTTAAAAGTCAGCCAGGTTGACAGACACACAGATGTAAAGGATATGAAATCAGGCTCTTACCCTTTTGAATTGACCGTCTCGCCTGGGCTCTGAAGCAATTGGGATAAAATAGAAAATAACTTTAGGCGCATCCGAGGGTCCTTGGAAGTGTGAAGGCAGGTTTTAAGAATGGAAATAAAATCCTTCAGGACTTCGGCAATCAGAGGCCCTAGGAAGAGAAAATGGAAGCAATGGAGTTTTGTATCAAGTGAAATTAGTCTGAAAGGAGCGAACCCCTAATGGGGAAGTCCAGTTCATTCTGGAAATCAGATCTCAGTTGAATAAGTTGAATTATGAACAGACTGAAAAAGCAGAGACATCACCCTGCCAACAAAAGTGTGTCTAGTCAAGGCTATGGTTTTCCCAGTTGCAATGGATGGCTGTGAAGGTTGGACCATAAGGAAGGCTGAGCGCCAAAGAATGGAGGCCTTTGAACTCTGGTGCTGGAGAAGAAGACTCCTGCATTGAGTCCCTTGGACTGCAAAGCCATCCAACCGGTCAGTCCTAGAGGAGATCCACCTTGACTGCTCTTTAGAAGGCCAGATCCTGAAGAGGAAACTCAAAGACTTTGGCCACCAAATGAGAAGGAAGGACTCACTGGAGAAGAGCCTCATGCTGGGAAGGATGGAGGGCAAAAGAAGAAGGACTGCAAGGCCATCCAACCAGTCAGTCCTAGAGGAGATCACCCCTGATTGCTCTTTAGAAGGCCAAATCCTGAAGAAGAAACTCAAAGACTTTGGCCACCTGATGAGAAGGAAGAAGGACTCCCTGGAGAAGAGCCTCATGCTGGGAACGATGGAGGGCAAAAGAAGAAGAAGGGGACAGCAGAGAAGGAGGTGGCTGGATGGAGTCACTGAAGCAACCGGCGTGAGCTTCAATGGACTCCAGAGGATGGTAGAGGACAGGAAGGCCTGGAGGAACGTGGTCCTTGGGGTCGCGACAGGTCGGATACGACTTCGCATCTAACAACAACTTGAACAGATTTCTGGGAATGCAGCCTTGCTAGGACTTGATAAACTCCCGTGTTGTCTCGTTTCACCTGGGACAGAACCGTTAGCAAACGGCATCAAGAATAAAGTGGGCACCACAAACCTTCTCTGGGGTGGCTCTCTCCCTATGGGACATCATCCCTCCGGAGAGAAGATCAGTTCCCCTTTGATATTCTTTCACAAGACCCCGAAGACCTGGTTCTGCCAATGGGTCTGGGGATCCCAGAGTGATATGGAGCACATCAAGTGGCTGGTCTCGGAGGTTGGGGGGTTTCTTGGGTTTTATACTGGGGCTTTTTCTTTGCAAGCTACCCGGAGTCCCGGTGAGTAAGCTGGGCAGCCAAATAAACATTTTCTTACTGAAATAGATAAAGAAAGCTGCCTTCGCATCTCTTGGTCCATGAATCCCAGGGCAGGGAGGTTCAATCCCTGCCCGCTTCCAATCTTCTCACCTGACTGAGTAGCAACTACGTCCAGCTGCAGGAGTTCGGGTGAGCAGGAGCTCCAGCCGTGGTGAGTCGAGGACAGCCATTCCATCAGCTGAGATATGTGCTGCTTGTATAAGCCGGTGGCATCCCGGATGTGCTGGACCTCAGCCAAGGCACTCATCGCTTCCTCCAACTGTAGGAATGGGACAGAGACAGGGAGAATTGAGGAAGGAATGCAGGGAGTCCTCGACTTAGCACCACAATGGAGCCCAAACATCCCTGTTGCTAAGTGAGACACTCGTTAAGTGAGTTTTGCCCCAGGGTTTTGTTGCCTCAGCTGTTAAGCGAATCACTGCAGTTGATAAGCGAGTAACAGGGTTGTTAAGTCAATCGGGCTTCCCCCATTGACTTTGCTTGTCAAGCGGTTGCAAAAGAGGATCACGTGACACACACACACCCCCGGGACACTGCAACCGTCATAAATATGAACCAGTTGCCAAGCACCTGAATTTTGATCATGTGACCATGGGGATGCTGGAAAGGGCATAAGCAGTGGGGTGTCCTGGATCCCGTTGCAACTGGTACGGTTGGAACGGTCCTGGCGGCATCCACATGGACATGCGCAGCGCACCCATGCGTCTTAGCACCTCTGCAAGCCTCCGTGACACTGCAGCTGCTCTGCGGAGCATCGTACAGGTGCTAGATGCGCCAGGCGCATGCGCGGAAGCCTTAAAAGACAGGTAAGGAGCTCGGGCGGGTGGGTGGGCCCTCCGGAGCACCGTACCGGAACGGTATCCGGTGCTCCGGGCAGGGTCCGGTACACCCGTACCGGGGCGTATACCGCCTGCAACCCACCACTGGTCATAAGTGTGAAAAAAGCTCATCTTTTTTCAGGGTTGTAACTTGGAACGAAAGCGAAAGAATATTTTGGACAGGTGATGCGACACTAGGAAAAATACGGCCTCCTTCACTTAATCCTCCAAGGAAAAACTGAAGGCCAAGGAGGTCCAGGCAGAAGAAGAACACAGTGGCTTCAAAATCTAAGGGTTCGGTTTGGACAAAACTCAACAGGAGTTTTTCGTGCTGCTGTTGATAAAAATAGGATTGCCAACAGGATCGCCAACGTCCAATGATGGATAATGGCACAAGAAGAACTGTGGTCATTAAACGAACTGTTGTAAGCCGAGGACTGTGGCAAGCATTTGGCCTCTGCAGTGCTTTGGAATTGAAAGAGAAGCGGCCATTGGAACATGCCATTTGTCTGCAGCTGTTGGGAAGTTCCTTCAAGCAGCCACGTCCTCAGAAAATGCACATCTGCAGGAGGCTTGACCTGCATATCCACCTTCCCTCTGAAGCATTATATCGGCCTCTAAAGACAATGTAGAAGATACTTCTGGTGCTAAATCAGTGCTCTGGTCCAAAATCCACCCCTCCTTTTTTTTAGTTCTTTCCGGTGAAAGCCTATTTGAATGCTTTTAGCGATTCAGGACTTGCCTAATGAACTTCCTTTTCTTTAAAACAGATTTATCCAGGAATCCTTTAAAAAAAGAAAAAAAAAGAGCATCCCGCGACGAAACGCTTAGATTCTCTTCTTCCTGAACAAGTCTAGGCATCCGGATTCCACAAGGCACACAGTACCCCTTTGACCTTTGATTGTGTGCATAAAATACTGTTCATGCTAATCTGCGTTTGATTTTTACAGTTTTAAAAGGTAAAGTTTCAAAATTATGGCTTGGGGGTGGGGAGGGGTGGGAGAAAAATTGCCTGTCGGTGGCAAAGAGCTGTAAATTTCAGGGTAGTTTATCGTGCCCAGAAGCAACCAAACAGGAAGCTGAATAGCCATTAAGCGAAGGGAGTTGAGTCGGGCAGCAAAAGCTTGCGTAGGCCACCAAAGAGTTTCCGTGAAAAGATGGCAGCCTGATTTAGTTGGAATTTGACTGGAGAAGAAAGTGATTTATGGGCATTGTGAGGGTCATAAACGAAGTGGGGTGGGGGGGACATCCATTATCGGAAGCATCTCAGGTGCTGGCCTCCAATTTTAAAGGATGCCTCAAACTTTTTTAAGCTCAACATTTGGGGGGTAAGTGGAGGTGAAAAGGGCAACTCCTGAAGAAAATACTGAAAGTATTTTCCCTTCCCTGACCATGGAAAGAACTGGAGAGGCTGAAGGAGGATCAAAATCCAGTATTAGGCAAAATACTGGATCAGTGATCTAATTTGTTAGAAGATTTCTTGAATCTCTTTATTCTCCCTTTCTCCCTCTTTTCCTTCCTTCCTTCCTTCCTTCCTTCCTTCCTTCCTTCCTTCCTTCCTTCCTTCCTTCCTTCCTTCCTTCCTTC